CATTGGCTATATGATGATTTTACAACCAATTTCGTCAAAAGCACTCAATTTTTCAAAATTATCTTTTAATTTAAAAAAATAGAGAATTGTTGTTTTAATTGATGTTTTTGATTCAATTATGTTGTTTTCATAAAAACTATACGTATTATGATTTTCAAACATTATTTTCCAAATAGTTTTTCAAAATATTGCCCTTTAGAATTCGGTTTAGAGAAACTTGAAATATTGAGGACTCATTTGAGTTTTGGGTTTGATTATATTGCATATATGTGTTTAAATTTGCAGGTTACATATTCTATTCCGATTCTTAAACCATGTCAAATCCTAAACGACCTAGGACATTGTCTAGTCGCTCAAGTCAAAACCGACCTCTTATTCCTCCACCCAATCCAAATAACCCAAATATGACCATTTTGAACTCTTGTTTCACGTACCTGGTCGTAGACAAGATCTATATCATATGTACCATACTTGTTTTGAGTCATACAAAATCTGGGAAGAGCGTATCCCTTTGATCCAAGCTATAGAAGATATGGACTTCCAATATCTTCCTACTCTTAAATCTTAGAAGTTTGATAAACTCTTTAAATTCAAACCTTTGGTTTATCATCAATTAATCCACATTTTTCTATTCCAATATAGTATGTGTCCAAAACGAGCACCGATCTGAAACTATAGGAATTCGATCCTATCTTTTAGGACAATTCATTTTTATTGGCTTCGGCACAATCGCTACCCATTTTGGACTAGATAACTCAGGTTTAATGAAAAAAAGACTGTGGATTCACCCTATAAGTCTAAGGATAGTGAGAGTACCCTAAGAACTCATTGTGATAGATTCCTTCATTATTTGATCTCTTGGTGGTTTAGACCATCCGGAGGTAGGTACTCATCCTTTAGGAATATAGATATATGGTGGATATATTGGATCCAACATAAAAAGAAGATCAATCTGCCACAGATCATCTTTAGTGAGTTTCCATAAACATTGTTCCTTCCAAGAATATAGAAACCTTGGTTTATGGTTATCTCCTTAGTAATTTGTTTATCAAACTCGGTCTTTGGGTCAATGGGTTTATCTTCCCGAACTAAGAACTTTTAATTGTGAAACATTTTGATGTTCATGGATTGTTTTATTTTGGGTGTTTGAATTTGTTGGATAATTGGATATTTGAACTTACATGCTTATATATTTGATTTGATTTTCACTTTCTCTTGATTATGATCTTAGCAGCTTACGCTATATTTAGTTATCAATTGGCTAATTGTTTTTCAAAAACTTGTTTAAAATCTTTTAAAGGTCTTTTTGATTTAACAAAAAGGGGGAGAAATATTAAAGTGTTTTTAAAGGGGAGAAGTGTTAAAGTAAGGGGGAGTAATTTCAAAACTTGATTTCAAAATCTTAAAATTACTAAAATGTTTTGTTATATAAAAAAGGGGGAGATTGTTGAAAACATTTTGATATTTCGATATAACAAATTAAGATAAATGAATTTTAAGATTTTCCAAAAAGATTTTCTAAGTATATTCGATATAATTATTCGAATATCAAAATATTACTCTAAATCTTTCAAAAGTCATTTTTAATCCTTACTCAAGTGTAAAATTAAGTTTTAATCTTAAAATTATTTTATTATTTCAAAATAATTTTACAAAGTATTTCGAATCGTTTCAAAGCCAAAAATTCCAGAATGTCCAGAGGGAACCGATTCCCCCCATGGGGGTACCGATTTCCCCTGAATGGTTTGGCTCCGAGAATTCCAATATGCTCGGAGGGAACCGATTCCCCCCCCAGGGGGTACCGATTCCCCCCCACTGTTCAACGGTTGAATATTTGAATTTTACACTTAGGGAACCGATTCCCCATAAGGGGTACCGATTCCCCCCATGCTCCAAGCTGTTTTATTAAATGATTTCACATTAAAACGACTCTATTATCTCCACTAATCATCCCTAACGTTCAGAAGTGATTCAAGGTGTATTTAAGCAAGCTTAGAAGCCATTGATCAAAAACAAGAAACATCAAGCAACTAGAATCAAGAGAGAATCAAAGGGAAAGCATCAAACCTCAAGTTTGAGCATTTCAAGCCTATTTTTCATTCAATATTCATTTTGCTTTCAAGAACACTTATTGTGCTCAATTGTATTTATTCTTGAGTGTTCTTTCTTTATTCTAGAATTGTGCAAACATATTTGCCTTGTGAGATTTTTCTTATAAGTTTGCAAATTTGTAATCTTCTCTTTGAGAAAAGAGTGTTCTCAAGAATTTGGGTATATTATTGAGGGAGTTGTAAGGTTATCTCTTTGGCCTCAAAAGAAAGAACAAATTAGTGAATTTGTTGGAAAATCCTTAGTGTGGATAGCTAAGGTAGTGGACGTAGACTTTGGTTGATAAAGTCGAACTACTCTAAATCGCTGTGCAATTACTTTCAATTTTCTGCAAAAGCTTCCACCAAACTTTTAATTGCCAATTCACCCTCCTCTTGGCCGATTCCATTAATTGATTAACTCAACATAGAATTTTAGTGAAGATTTACATGAAGTAAGCCAATTTAAAAGAAAAATGAGCTATCATCAATGACCATTCAGTGAAATGTCTTCTTATAGGCAAAATAATGCACTATGGCAGAAAATTTTCAGTGTCCAATTAATCATCTTCAGCAACTTTTCAGTGATATATCAACTTATTTCAGAAAACTTTTCAATTATGACATATCACTTCATATAAAAAAATGTGCATTTCTCATAGGCAAAATAATGCACCATGGCAGAAACTTTTCAATTCACAAACTTTTCATAAGCCTATTAATATATGTGAGGTGAAAGCTATTTTACTAATTTGAAGCAAAAAAAATCTAAAACAACTTCAGTCTTTCATTTCCAAAGCTTGAGTTTTTTTGTGAACATAACACCTATTCGTGCAACTATTTTTTATGATTGCAAATCTTTAACCATGTGTTTCGAATAAAATATTCAACTAAATGAGTTGAAGTTCAATATACAAACAAGGGTTTAACTCGGATGCATTAGAAGCATATCTTTATTATAGTATAGATTACCACTATCATGCACGAGGTTTCATCTAAGCGATGATGTCGACCTTACTGGTATAATTGATACATACTTCTACCATTCTTTGTCTAATGTTGATTTGTTTGTAGAGTTCACTGATTTCAACCTTGCTCGTACGGTTGAGGATGTTACTTACAGCTCGAACATCCCACCAACTAGGGCTGTAAATGAGACGAGACAGATCGCGAGCTACTCGAGATCTACTCGATCAAGACTCGATAAATACTCGGATCGAATGGACTCGACTTGAGCTCGACTCGAATTCTTAACGAGTCGAAACGAGCTACTCGATATTCGACTCGGAAAGCTCGTGAGCTACTCGAAAAATGTTATATTATAATTTTAGATTTTTTAAAATTACAATATAAAAATTTATTAAAAATACATTATTGATAATTATAAAATTTTAAAAATATATTAAAAATTCTATAATACAACTACCCTCAAATTTTATTTTTTTTACTTAAGCAACTCAAGTCCAATTGTTACATTGTATATTACTAAAAAAATAAAATCACATTTAATTAAGCACATGTTAGATTACATCCTAAATCCTAAACCTACACCCTAAACCCTAAACTCTAAAGTATAAACCTTAAATCCTAAACCTTAAACCCTAAACCCTAAACCCTAATCCTTAAGATATAAATCCTAAACCCTAATCCTTAAGCCATAAACCCTAAATTATAAACCTTAAACCCTAAACCCTTATTTCAATTATATGATAGGAGTTAAGTTATGCACATGAAGGTAACATATAAATTATGCAAAATAAAATTAATGAAATTAACAAGGGTTTATATGTAAATAAATTGAATTAAGATATTTCTATGGATGATTCGAATGTAAATAAATTTAGACTCAGTAGACATCAAGCTTATATTTCTGTCGAGTTTCAAGAATTCTAGCAACTGGATTAAGATATTCATTATCAAATAAGGCTTAGGTTTTTTATGTTGGAAAGATATGGCAATGTCAACTTTATTAGAATGATTAATGAATTTTGGACTTTTTTAGCTTCCACGTGTTCATTTAATTAGCCTTCCACTTAAAAATGTAGATTAGGTTATTAAAGTCTTTCCTTCAACCCAAAGAAAGCACCAAAACAATCGTTTCCCGTACATAATTGATTCATTTGTAATGTTCCAAAGCTGGAATTGTTCACCAAAGTATCTGTTATAAAGTAGGCAAAGTTGGTGAACTAAATAAAGCACAGCTGCCCTCCTTTTTCCATCACATTTTCCCCTTTATAAACCAAGCCCCTTCGAATTTCTCCTCCACAAGCCACTAATACTAGCATACTACTCCATTGGTTCTTTCCACCTTCCTTTCAATCTGTTTAAGAGCAAATTTTGGGTAATCATTGGCAGCAAGAAGAAGGGATGGAACAATATTTACAGCAGTGTTCATAGTTGCAGTGTGTTTATGGACCGGAGCTTTGGCGCAATTGAGTTCGAGTTGCACCAATGTGCTCATTAGCATGTCCCCGTGCTTCTCCACGCATGAGAGCACTTGCCTTGGGTGGTTGGTTCCATTCACTGCTGCGAATAACCGCACTCAATAATATCAAATTCATAAAAAAAGAGTTAAATAGCTACATATTTTCAATGACAAAAGTTACTCACTTGGACTTGATCTTTGCAACTAAAGTTACAGGGGCCATAGAAATTGACCTTACAGCAACAACAATCTCGCATGATTATAATTTCTATAATTTTAATAGGAAGGAGACACCATAAAGAGAAAGGCAAAGAAAATGAAAGAACCATTTACACTTGTTAATTCAAACTTGATAGTTTTCCAAGCCAGACCCTAATTCTAACATCATTCACCAACAATAAACGTACGTTTTTGCTTATTCATCTGAAACAAGACACAGGAAAAACCGTAAAGACAATACATACCAAACTTAGGAAGTGAACAGACTAATAAATAACAACAAAAACCCTTGAAACTCTTTCAGTTTTTAACCAGAAATGTCAATGGTTTTGACATCAGGTTTCTTCACTTCCACCTTAGGAACAGTAACAGTAAGAACCCCATTCTCCATGAAAGCCTTAACTTGATCCATCTTCATATTCTCCGGCAACCTAAACCTTCTCGAAAAATTCCCACTGCTCAGCTCCACACGGCGCCACGTATCATTCTTGTCTTCCTTTTCTATCTTCCTCTCGTCGCTGATTTGAAGCACCCTGTCATCTTCGACCTCAACTTTCACTTCCTCTTTCTTAAGCCCATGAAGATCAGCCTTAAAGACGTGAGCTTCTGGGGTCTCCTTCCAGTCGATGCGGGTGTTTACAAAAGCAGAGGTTTCAGGAGAACGAGTCGCGAGTGAAGAAGGGAAAGGGAAGTCCTTGAAAGGATCCCAAACATCAAGAGAGAAAGGATGCTCAAGGATGAAGATGAAGGCCTTGAAGTTCTCGAACAAGTAGTGCTCTCAACAATATCCCACATCGTGGAGATACTATAAGATGACATGACAAGCTCATTATAAAACAAGCAGGCTTGTGCAATTTAAAACATATATGTCTCGGCCTTTTGTCTAATATTCGAGCATGTATTGAGCTTAAAATCGAGCTTAATTCGAGCTTGGATTGAGTTTCAATCGAGCTTGAGTATTGAGTTTCAGTCGAATTTTTGAATTTTTTTTGAGTTTGAGTTTTTTCGAGTTTGAGTCGAGTTTTAATATTATCTTTTGAGTTCGAGTCGAGCTTGAAAAATTTAGGTTCGCGAGTTTTCGAGTCGAGTAGAGTTTACTATAAAAGTTTTTGAGTTCTAGTCGAGTTCAGTAATATTCGAGTTCGACTCGGCTCGTTTACACCCCTATCACCAACTCAAACAAATGATGAAGAAACAAACATAGTTAATGGAGACCCAAACATGGTTTCAATTTGTACGTGAACGAAAACAAGAAAAAGCATGGAGAATTGAAGAAATTACTATTAGTCATGACGAGTCTACTGATTACAAAAAGTAAAACATCATAACAAACACTACTATGTTTATGATATTATTTACTGTTTAAGGTGTGTGTAAGATTATTCCTATTTACGTTGTTTTTATTTCCATAATATTAGAACAAAAAACAACCATGAAAAAATTGAAAAAAAATAATATTATTTTAAATAAACTTGTCACATTGACATGGCGAGTTTTTACTTTTTTTTTCAATTTTCAATTTAAGTAAATAACTAAAAAAATAATATTATCGAGATGACGAGTTCCCCTGTATTATGAAAATTGTTGTAGATCTCAAATTAAAAAAAAACTAACAGTCTTATTTCCCAAAAAAACAATTTTGGATTGTCATATTGGGTAAAAAAACCCCTCTTTTTTCTCTATTTAAGTATGGAGAGGTTTTTTAATGAAGTCCACAATTATATTTATGGTTTTGACGTGGCGAATAAAAATACACAAAACCTCTCATTTTCAAAAATTTAAGATTTTCTAAGTTAGGTTTTAAAACAAATTTGGACTTTAAATTGTTATGAAAACTGCCATACTTTAAACCAAAAATCAAGACCCCATCTAAATATTCAATCTTTTCACCCAAAAAACACACACAAATAGATTAAAGAATATGGTACATTAAATATTATAGATTTAAACACCCTAAAATCATATTATGTAATTGAAAACTAAAGAAACTTATAAATCATTTATTTGTTACATAATTATATATGTGATTAAACTTAAAGTGTTCATGAGCCAAGTTTAAGTGCATACTAATATACTATATTTATTTAAATATTCTATTCAGCTCAATCTCAAATTTTCTAAATCCAGTCATACATAGGAAATGAATAATCCTTGTTTATTTAGATGTCTATATTATTACAATTTTTTCTATTAATACTTTTGTTTTTCTACATATTTTTTCAATCTTTATTCATATTATAATATATATTTAATCTATACACGATAGAAATAATTTAGATAATATAATTAAACCCCCAGCAGGCCTGATGGAGCGCCATGGTCCAGCTCTTATTAAATTATTTTTTCTCTCATATATTTGGCAAACTTAACATTCTTTTTGGAATCCTTTCAAATTAAAACTTGATAAGATAATCTTATGGTTAATAAATCTTAAATTAGAACTTTAAATATGTAAGTGAAATTATTTTCGATTTAAGAATTTAGAGAATTATAGATAATTTAAATGTTGCATAAGAAACTATACATAATTACAATCCAACATGATTTGTCAAGAGGAAAAACCAAAATGTTGATATATACATCTTGATTAAGGGTATCAGCCACTCTTGGCATAGGCATCAAAGATTCAAGACCCCACCAAAGCAACCATCATAATCCCTAAGCTGAATTGGAAGCATATAAATATACAACACAGTATCAACAGAGGCAACTCAAGTCCTTTGGACTAGAAAGAGACTAACCTTGTGACTTGAGCTTTATCTGCACCGTACAACACCATGGCCCTTCTGGGTTTTTTTAATCTCCGGTCTGAGTCCCATTTTCCGATTTCTAGATTCTTGTTTTTGTGAACGTGGAAATGCTTGGTTATACAACCCCATTTGTTTGGACTGTAGAGTTATTGGCTACTGTCTGGTCCTCCAGTTTTGCCTTGATTTTGAGCAGCTTGAATAGGTTGTGCTGTTTTGGTCTTATCTGGGCTTGGAACTGTTGAATGTTGGCATTTCTCTACTTCTTTTGCAATCTGGTTTCGTTTCTCTCTCAGCAAACTGAGCCGTGTTTTCAGCTTTGCCAGTGCTAAAGTTGGGGCATTGGTTCCCTGAACAACAATATTAGCTTTTAAAACCACTCATAATTATTACCAAATGTAAACTACCTAAGGCTAATTTGTGACGTGTTTTAATCTAAAATGTTATTTTGTTCAACCTAAAAAATTTTACAATTAGTAATAATTTCGGTTGCAACCAAAAAATAATATATTGCGAAAGTTTTTAACCTAAAATGTTACCTTCTTGGTAAGTTTTTTTGGTTACAACCATTTCTGTCCTTTTTAAAGTCTTATATATAGAGTCATCCAAGAAACTTTGGCTGTTGGACTCAACTTGTATCAATGTTGTTGGAGGCAATGGAGTGTCCGTTAAAACAGAATAGAACATACCTCACCCTTCAGCGCAGACTTTTTTGTATTACTTATAGCAGGTGGATTCCTTGCAGCCGTCTGTGCTGCACGCGTACGATTGATGTTCTGCTCATTTGCGGAAGAGGGTTCTTGCTTCTCGTTCTGGCACTCAACTTTGTCCACATATTTACCCTGTTACATCACAATCTTGGTTCCGTTAATTCCATTAAAACAAAATCACATCAGCTGCCAAAGAGATTACACCAGGTTTATCTCCAATGTAGCCCAAGTTAAGTCTAAATTTGAGTGCTCAACCGTATGCATGAACTAGTCAAACTTTGCATTGAAAACAAAACCAACCAACTTGAGAGAGATAATGCTCGATTCGCAGCTTTTCAGATCATCCATACATGAACGTATCTGTATTTCTCTTTCATGAAGGATTCATGTCCGACACACAATTTTAGGATGAAAAACTCAACAAATTGATGTCGGGCATATACCAATATGTCTTAGAGCAGCTTAATTTCTTGGAAAACTAGGGAACCTAATGATGCCTTAAAAGAATGCGAGTTTACCTTGCTTCCTGACCTTTTTAAAGCAGCCTCGGTATCCTTTGGCTTATCCTTCCTGTATTAAGAGCAACACAAACATGTATATTCATGAAACAGATGAAAATGGAAATTGAAAACATAAATATAAATCCAAAGAGGATGATGTTTCTTTGAAGCATGAATAGTTGATGAGTTAACAATTGCCAAACAATCCAGATGTAAGGGTGATCAAAACTCGATTTAAAAAATTGATTTTTTTTTTATCAAATTCGAATTATTCGAGTCGAGTTATTCAAGTTATTTGAGTCAACTCGAATTATCGAGTCAGTTTCCAAGTTGAGTGAAGTTAAAATTTTAAAATTTTCAGTTACTCAAAAAACCGAAAATTTGGTGGAGTATTTTGATAGTTTTGCGATTTAGTCCTTGATTTCCTTATTCCTTCAATTTCTGTTCATTTTTAAATTTATTTTTACTAAATTTGAATCACATGCTCCTAAACCACCGTAGAATACTTATGTAGTTTCAATTTCGTTTTTGATAACAAGTTTTCTATTTTTCAATTTATTCTCTCAACTTTACATAATTTCCTTATTTCTTCAAATTCATCTCTCATTTTAAGTCGATTTTTGACCAAATTTGAACTACATGCTCCCATACCACTATAGAATACCTATATGTAACTTTAATTCCCTATAAATTGTTTGCAAATTATTTCTTCCCATCAATTCTTGATTCCTTTATACTCTCATCAATATTTTACCCTCAAAATACCTTCTTTGAAATATAATATTATAAATATATTTTATAATTTAAGATAATATATTAAATAACATTATAATGTGAAAAGAATATGAAGAAATATATATATCTTATTTTCTTAGAGAAAGTCAAAATATTGGAATCAATCCATATCATATTACTATAAATAATTACAATTAAATTTGTATAAAAATTTGAACAATTCAGCTTGACTCGAAAAAATTTCAAATTAAATTTGAGTCATCAAATATGACTCATCAACTCGACTCGATCGACTCACCCTATCCAAATATATTTTACCCTGTTTGAACCAGTAGAAGGATGACATGTAATCAACTCTGATAAACGAAAAAGACAGTAAAGAAAAAAATTATAAGAAATATGATGATATTCCAAAAGAGAATATCCAACTGAAAGCTTACGTGTTTGCTTGGTGATTCACGGAAACAGAATTTTGCACAATCAGTTGATTTAGCTGCATCTGGAGATCATCAACCGTTTTGTTCAAGTTGTTTATGTCTGCCTCTGCTTGAGCTATGTCCTTGAGATCTGTCTTTGTCTTTATCATTATCAAATGTTAAATTTTGATGCAAAAAATATATTTACATATATACGCTACTTAAATATTAGGTAAGCCATTGGCTAACCTTCTCATCAAGTATATCTGGGAGAGATAAATGTCCTTGAGATGGCATAAGTCCAGCTTCCATAGATGTTCTCTTATCTCTTTCCCTTTGCAACTCGTTCTCTAGTCTTGATACCTTAAGTACAAGCGTGAGGAAATCAAGACCATGCCACTATCATAAGGTTAAACAGTATTCTCGAAGAACTCATATAGAGCATGAAACAGAAATGATAAAAAAAAAGTCCTTAAAAACATACATCTATTTGAAGAGCTAGGCGACGCTCATGCAATGTCTTTGGTTTTTCCAAGCTGGCTTCGTGAATCGTTTTACCTTCAACCTGTACAAGAAATATGAATTGTCATGAAAAATGTCCAAACAAGTTGAGATAACAATAATCAGAAAGGGTGGATTTAGCAGAACCTCTTCTGGGAGACTCTTTTGCAAGTCAGATTTTTCAGCCTCCAAATTCTCTACTTTAGCCCTAAATTGGGTCAAAATCAAGTAAAGGAAAATAGAATCATTATCAATAAAACACAGTGCTCTGAATCTATTTTGTTTTGCCTTTTCCTTTTTGGTTTCAAAAATTATGCTATGCAAAGCATGAAAGGGGACATCTAAAGGTGATTGGAACTTTTAGTGGGTATTTGTCCTCTATGATACATGCAAGAATAACCAGGAAAAGAATTATTTGCGGACAAATGAATACAAAGTTCTTTATACGGATCACGGGAACATCACTTACTCTTCTTTACGTGGAGAATCAAAGCGTTCCATGGAAAGCTTCTTCTTCGCCTGGACAAGTAAACCAGATAAACAATTAGTTGCTGAAGAATTATAAACACATATCAACTTGAGCAATTTTAAGTCAATAATCAAAAGTCACTAGCAAGAACTAGAATGAATGTTTCGAAAATACTTACAGCAGCCCATCCCCAAACAACGGGGCGCTTAACAATGTGGCCACGTTCAATTCCAATAGATGTGGATTTTGAGATGCGTGAGATTTGATTGTGATGAGTTAACTTATCCTCCAACTTGGTTACTTCTTGAACATCTTTGGGAAGCTTAGCAAACTTATTGATCTTTATTTCTGAACTTGAGCTTGAATAATCAGAATCCTGCATTTTATTTTTATTTGATGCAAGTATAGTACATCTTTTTTTTTAATACTGATTTGCCAGCAAAGGAGAACTAATCATGATTCCTAGAACATGAAGAGAGAGAACAAGCCTTACAACATCCAGATCATTGGTAACAGGGTGACTACTCTTCCTAACTGTTCCACTTGCCACATAGTCTTTATCACTGAGTGCATCAGACCCATGTTTTGCATCATCGCAGTCATCATCAGTTACCGCCTCACTTACACTTCCACTCTCTTCCGTTTCAGAGTATAAATGAGGGGGAACATCATAACATTCCTGCGGCAAAATGATGAGTTCATAATCGCAATGTAAAAATCAAGTCCAAACCAAGGTAAGTAAAATTGGACCATGGAAAAAGATCAGCCAAATTTCAAGTCCTATATAATAGGTTAGTTGGACTCGTTGAAGTCTCCTACAGACTCAACTGTTTTCAAAGTCCACAATTTGATAGTTGTAATTTGGTCACTTTAGATTCTGTACCATAAGTGGCACAAACACTCTAGGACAACAATAACAAATTTCGACTAAATAATCTTGTTTGCTTGAAAAGAACAAACAGAAAATAAAACATGTTAACTGTGAGCTAAGGAGAAAGCCTTACAGTTAATAAATTTAAGGGGTACAGACTTTTCTGCACAGTGACTACATAAAACCATTTAAGAAGTACTTGCGAAAAAGAAGACAATAATTAAAGCTTACCCCAAATATTTTATCATACTCTTCCAGTAATGTTGTAACAATGGCTTGCGCATGATTGGCTGCAGCAACTGCTTGCAGCAGTTGAAATGAACTATCACCAATCACATCAAAACCGACTTCAATTTCACAGTCACCGGCTAGGAGGGGGCGAAGAAGCAAGGGTGCCATGCATGCCGCCACGGCTGAAGAGTTCATCAGATTTTCAGCTCTATGAGAAGCCACTGCTTGCATCATCTTCAAAATTCTGAAGGGAAGGAACAAAAAAAAGATAAATACGGATAAAGGCCAGTAGAAATCAATATGGCAAAGAATGATGGTGATATTTTAATTGTTAAAGTAAGATCGAAATCCAAGTTTTTTTTTCTCTCAAAAATGCCTATAGCTACTAGAAGAAAAGGATTCTAAAGGTATTTCATCCATAATGTTTCAACAATAATCAACCTAGTGCAGAAAACTAATAGAAAGTTAAGTATACAACATTTTTACCGTATCATTTAGATAAGTAATACAAAAATATTCTTAATTAACCACCAAATGGAACCACAGCTTTCTTTTATTGAATCCATGACGCTCAGGAAACCAATATGCAAACTGCATTTCAAATGTAACTTGTACTAAGAAAAGCATTTTGATTAGAAAGGCAAAGAGACAAGTGATGAATCAACTACCTTTGTAATAAGCGGCGGTTTGGCTCAGGAAATGTGTCCAATATTACCGTACGCATAGCATCGACTCTACCACAACTTTGAGATCCTAATCATTTTATGATATTCAATAATAACAAAACCAAATCTTCAAAAATTATATAGATAGGTAAAACACACAACACTCAATGTCATAGAGTTTGAGAATAAAAAAACTTCCCCAATGGATGCATAAGAGGAACCCGTCACATGAAGTTTCTAAAGATTAATGAATAATGAAGGACAGCTTATTTAATTTAAGGGTAAAGTATACAAATGGTTCTCCAACTACAGTTAAAACTCTATAAATTAATAATGTCAGGACCGGAGAAATTTATTAATTTAGAGAGTTATTAATTTAGAGATAAATTAATAATTATTAATTTAAAGAGTTTTTAAGTAATTATACTGTAAATACCAAACAAAAAGGCAAATTAGTCTATGCCTCTTAGAATTACGTTGCAAGAGATGAGTTAAATTAATAATTAGCTCCAAATAGACTTGAACTTTAAAGGAAAACAGACAACTATTGAATCATATTTCAATAGAGTGTAATATTTTTTTTTCAGTTTCTATGAATTATTAATTTATAATTTTCTTGGGACCAAAAATTATAAAGGGATCTCACAAAAAATTATTATCTTATTATTTTATTGAGTTTTTCAATTTTTTACATTGGCCCAAGTCGGGACCGGACAAATTTATTATTTTAGAGAGTTTATTAATTTACCGAGTATTAATTTAAAGAGTTTCTACTGTATAGTACGTTGTTTTGTTGAGTCCCCGACTATTAAAAGTTAAAAAATAGTCTTCTGACTATAGGGCATTGTTTTGTTGAATCCTCAAATATTAAAAATTATAAAATGAACATTTGACTATTCAAATATTCCAAACTCGTAATTTTCGTTAATAAATTAACGGTCATCTAAGTTGGACGTTAAACTTACTGAGTAGGATATGATAAAATTATATATTAATGATGTCTATTGGTTCCGACATCTCTTTCAAGCACTAACTTGATGGCATAATGATTCAAGCACTAACTCGACGACATAATATAATTGGAGAGTCGATCTACAAAATACAACTTAAACGGTTCTAGAATTAAATTTTATCATATCTCAGTCAATAGGTTAATGTCCATCTCAAACGGACACTATTTTTTTAACGGAAGATGACGAGTTTGGAACATATGAATAGTCAGGTGATTATTTTGTAACTTTTAATAGTCGGAGAACTCAACAAAACATCGTCTTATAGTCAATGGACTATTTTGTAACTTTTAATAATCAGAGAGATTCAAAAAAGTAACACCCTATACTCGAGGAACCATTTGTGTACTTTACCCTTTTAAATTGTGATGATCAACTCATTTCCTTTTAGGGGCATCAAGAACCCAGATGTGGTGAAGCTTGTCATCAACTCATTTTACTCCAGGGTAAGATAGAGAAAACAAAGACAATCCGATGGAAACCTACGGTTTGCTTCTAGCAGCGCACTGCAGCATGACGCAGGGACAGGAGATGATGGCAACTCTCGGATGACATACTGGGAAAAGGCATGAAGAAAATTAAACAACACAGGATCAGGACCAGTACATGCTATAACTTATTGAAAGAATCCTAAGGAAACTAGTAAGGCATACCTTGACACAATCCGCAATGACATGTGGATCCTCCTCAGAAGTAAGCTCAGTTTTTCCTGCATAAAAGAGTATGACCTTAAAGAGTTTAGAAGACTGAACAAGTATTCTGATATTGAATACAAAGTAGTGTTAGCTTCCTGCTTTCTCTATTCAATAAGTATCTTCCTTGCATGAATATCAATTCAAATTTAAGTTTTTTATAGAGCTAGTTAATAGAATGGTTCACCTTAGAACATAAAGTATCGAAAGTGAAATTCCAGAGAATATAGAAGAACAGAAGCTATGGAAGCTGAAGCCAACATCAAAAAAGAAAAGCAGAATACATTAGAAGGACAGAGTGTGTTTAAACAAACCCTGTTCATATTCCTGAATTCGGCGCTTAACATCTTCAACATCAGCAGCTTGTCGTAAGACCCCTTCTGCTTTTGTTCCTGTTCAATATTTTTACCATCATCAAAATAGGTGAAAAGAAAATGAATTATAGTTCTTTACCAAATCATTTATTTCACTAAAAAATGTAGAAAATTCTTGAAAAAAGATAAAAAAGATCTTATAGTATTCTTTGAGCAATTCTTTTGTGTAAGAAGTGTTAAAGTTAAACTCTTAATCATAATTTATCTCTAAAAACTATCTCCTAATTTGTAGAAAATATGACTCCTATTTTATCTAGGTCTCTAATTCATGTATATAAATACCCCATGTCCTCTCTTGTGTAAGAAGCAATTTTCCTTTGAATAAAAGTATTTCAATTCTTTCACTACCGGAAAAACCTGGTTAGTTACATGGTATCAATAGCCGGTGTCGATCCCAACCTCGCTGCCTCCGTCGTTTGTCGTCCTCCCATTCATAAAATCCCTTCAACACGCCGTACCCATCACAACAACGAACCCTTCGCAGAGCCCTTTTTTTCCCTGGCAGTGCCGCCCTCTTCACATCACAACACCTTCGCAGCGCCGTCCTCCTTGCTGCACCACCGCAGCATTGCTCCATTGAATCGTCGCACCCTTCGCAGTGTCGTCGTCATCGCAATGTTGTTCTCTTTGCATCGCAACACAACCCTGTCGCAGACTCATCCTCCTTGCTGCGCAATCGCGTCGTTGCTCTCCTCGCTGTACTGTTCTCATCGCGCCGCTGGTCCAGCGCTGCTCTCATCACAGCGGCAGTCCTTCCCCGCTGTTTGGTCACTGTTCGGCTAGCCCGGTCTCCCAACAACACAACCTTCAATTCCTTTTCTTGGTTGTTATGGCGTATCCTTCTTCATCTAATCTTCCATCCGAGGCTGAAAATTTCATTATCCAACCTTCTTCTTCCGACTCGGTTTCCTCGTCCATTACTTGTCATCATCTAAATGGTGAAAATTACATTGTCTGATCTCAATCAGTGCCTCTATTCATCACCAGTCGCCGAAAACAACAATATCTCTCGGATAATATGTCGATCTCCGATCCCCAATACGACACTTGGCTCACCGAGAATACCACAATCATGTCGTGGCTCCTCAACTCTATGTTGCCTGACATTAGCGCGAACTTTATGCTCTACACCACCACCTCGAAAATCTGGAATGCTGCCAAGGGACATACTCCAATTAGGAAAACTCATCCACTCTGTTTGCCATTGAATGCCGGATCAATGACCTGAAGCGGGGCAATCTTACTGTTACGGAATACTTCACTCAGTTATCTTGCTTATGGTAGCAAATTGATTTGTTCGAAAATCCAGTGGCAAACCTGTGCAGATGCCAAACTCTACAAAGGGCTGCTTGAAAAACGACGTATTTTTCAATTCTTGTCGAGGATGTCCGTCGCTCTTGATGATGTTCGTGGTCAGATTCTGGGCATCATGCCTCTTTTGTCTCTTCGCGAGGTGTTCTCTGAGGTCCGACGCGAAGAAAGCCACTGCTCTCTGATGCTTCCACCATCCGTTGAAAGTTTTGCCTTGTATACCCATTTCTCCAGTGACACTCGTGCCAAGAAAGGTCGTTCCTGGTGCGATCACTACCGAAAACCTAGTCATGTTCGTGATAAATGTTGGAAGCTACATGGTCGTCCGACCAACTGGACTCCATCGAAATCCTCCTCACGTCCATCCCACGGTAACTCTGCTATAACAACATTGGAAGGTGGTTCCTTTTCTTGTCAACAACATATGTTTGGTCATTTACAGATTCCACCTGCTACTGAGCCCAAGTCTGCCTGCACTGTTAGCGAAGGTAATTCTCTTTTTGCCTCCTTATCCCCTTCACTCGGATGTGTCTCTTGGATTGTTGATTCCGAAGCAAGTGATCATATGACATGCAACTTCAGTTTATTTTCAACGTTTCACAAAAATGGTATTTCATGCAGTGTTCGTACTGCTAATGGCTACCTATCACCGATTAAGGGCAGTGGCTCGATTCGCATTAATAACCGAATTATTCTGTCTAATGTTCTATTTGTTCCAAGTTTGACTTGCAATCTTCTTTCGATTAGCAAATTATCTACCGATTTGGGTTGTACTTCTCATTTTACTTGTGATCATTGTGAATATAGGATTTGACCTTGGGGATGGTGATTGGCAATGCTAGGCGTCGTGGTGGACTCTACATCCTTGACGCTCCTCCTTTTGCTCCCGTTCCAAACTACTCACTTGCACCATTTTTTTCCTCCTTTGTTTTAGTTTCTCCTACAGATGCGGCTGCCGACATTGTGTTATGGCATTTTAGGTTAGGTCACCCAAGTTTTCCTTATCTTGCAAAATTGTTTCCCAAATTATTTATTAATAAAAATCCCGCATCATTTTCTTGTGAAATTTGTTCTCTTGCAAAACACATTCGGAGCTCTTATCCTCCTTCGCCTAAAACTTTTTTCTTAATTCATAGTGACATCTGGGGACCTTCACGGGTTACGGGTTTACATGGAATTGATTGGTTTATTACCTTTATTGATGACCACTCTCGTACCACTTGGACCTTTCTTATGAATGACAAATATGAGTCTTCTATCATATTCAAACGCTTCAACAAAATGGTTGAAACACAATTCCAAAGTTCCATTGTCATCCTTAAATCTAATAATGGTGGGGAATACCTCTCTCAGTCGTTGGGATCTTTCTTCCAAGAAAACGGAATAGTCCACTTCACTTCCTTTGTCGACACTCCACAACAAAATGGGGTCACCGAACGTAAAAACCGTCATCTTCTTGAGGTAACCCGAGCACTCTTTTTTTCTTCTAATGTTCCGAAATACCTTTGGGGTGAGGCTCTCTTAACAGCTACTTTTCTAATCAATCGTTTTCCTAGTAAGATTATTGCCTTTAAGTGTCCACGTGATATCCTTTCCACTAAATTTTACTCATTTCAAACCTTTTACCTGTCGTGTCTTTGGTTGTACTGCCTTTGTCCATGACCATGATCCTCATAAATCTAAACTTGATCCTCGGGCAATTCGGCGTGTCTTTGTTGGTTATTCATCCCATCAAAAAGGTTATCGTTGTTATTCTCCTTCTACAAAACGGTTCTTCACATCTATGGATGTCACTTTTCAAGAGCATAAACCATTATTCTCAAAAACCGAAATCCAAGGGGAGGGTGAGTATGAATTTCAATTTTTAGCGATTATTACTGAGTTACCCATCAGTTCATCTTCTACTGAAAAAACTATCACTCCACAACCTCTTAACACCACCACATCTTATAATGAAAACCAATCCATTAATCCCATCGACTCTCATAAAACACTCAGGACATCTACCAATATTCTCACCTACACAAGATGACCCAAACAAGCCCTACCTTCCACACCGCAGTCAATGCATTGTCAAGAGCCAGAACCTGAGTGGGAAACTAATGTCTGGTTTTATGAGACCTTTGCTCCAGTTGCAAAACTCAACACTGTTCGAGTTCTATTATCCTTGGCAGTAAACAAAGATTGGATACTTCACCAACTATACGTTAAAAATGCATTTCTCAATGACAATCTTGAAGAAGAAGTCTATATGCAAGTTCCACTCGGAATTTTTATTCTAGAAATAACCTGGTATGTAAACTACTGAAATCCTTATATGGTCTAAAACAATCACCTAGAGCTTGGTTTGATAGATTCACGAAGGTAATATTACAAGACAACTACAAACAGTGTCAATCCGATCACACTCTATTTGTAAAAACTGCTCCAGATAAGAAGTCAATCTTGATTGTCAACGTTGATGATATCATCATCACTGGTGATGACTTAGTAGAAATCGAAAAGTTGAAGACTTTACTAGCAAAGGAGTTTGAAACCAAAGACTTGGGAACTCTAAGATATTTTTTAGGTATGGAGGTAACAAGATCACAAGAAGAAATTGTCATAAATCAAAGAAAGTATATTCTAGACTTACTTTCTGAAACTGGAATGACTAATTGTAAGCCCTCGGAAACTCCTATGGAAATTAACTTAAAATTGAGTAAAAATGGAAACTCGGTAAACAAGGAACATTATCCTAGGTTAGTGGGTAAACTCATTTATCTATCTCTAACAAGACCTGACATTATTTTTCCTGTTAGCGTTGTTAGTCAATAGAAGAACATTTGTAGGCAGTCAATCGAATCTTAAAATATCTAAAGATGACACCAAGACATGGGTTGATTTTCAGAAAACATGAAGACAAAAAACAGTTAAAATCTTCTCATATTCAAGTTGGGCTGGAGAATTAACAGATAGAATGTCAACCTCAGGATATTGCTCATTTGTATGGGGAAACCTAGTAACATGGGGGAGCAAGAAACAATCGGTAGTCTCCAGGAGCAGTGCAGAATATAGGGCGATAGCACTCGGGATGTGTAAAGGAATTTGGCTTCAAAGACTCTTAATCGAACTAGAGATGTGCGACAACAACTATTTTGAACTTTAAAGTGACAACAAATCTGTGATAAGCATTGCAAAGAATATGGTGCACCACGACAGAACAAAACATGTGGAGATCGATAGACACTTTATTGCAGAAAAAGTAAATGGAGGAACTGTGAAATTAAACTACGTCTCTTCACAAAACCAGCTAACAGATGTATTGACCAAGGCACTTCCAAGGATTGCCTTTGACGAAATTACATCCAAGTTGGGTCTTCACAAATATTTACTCCCCAGCTTGAGGGGTAGTGTAAGTAGTGTTTAAGTTAAACTCTTAACTCTAATTTATCTCTAAAAACTATCTCCTAATTTGTAGAAAATATAACTCCTATTTTATCTAGGTCTCTAATTCATGTATATAAATACTCCATGTCCTCTCTTGTGTAAGATGAAATTTTCCTTTGAATAAAAGTATTTCAATTCTTTCACTACCGGAAAAATCTGGTTAGTTACATTTTGTGTTTTGTCACTGCCACTAACTGTTTTTTCCATGGTCTTGCAAAGTAAGATAAGATCATGACCATATTTTCTTCTTCTGTTCTTTTTAACGGCAAGTTTGGATGTCATCCTGAATGTCTGGTATTCATAGCGGAATTGGAGACTGATCCTTCGAATTGCAATGTGCCATCGATGATCTTAATGCAAGTCCCGAGCTACTATTACTCCTAAACTTGCGTGGATAGTTCATATATGCTTTATTTGGAAAGAATTGGACCAGCGCAGAGCTGTAAACCCTTCAATAACCCTGATTTTATAGTTACTTTAATTAGTGAGTCTATTCATCTTAAGATTAGAAAATTCTCCTCTATCAGTCATCATCCCAAAGAATCAAAGTTTGTGAAGCTCCTAGGGTTTGAATTAAGTGACTTTGTCAGTTTTATTTGTTTGAGGTTGCAGGACTGATGTTTTGTAGCAAGTTTATCTCCCACATCCCCACGCCCATCCAAAAAAAAGGAAAGAAAAACGCATGCACATATATTCACTATATTACGCAGGGATTAGAGAGTTACTACTACAATGGAATTAGAAATTTAGCATACTACTTAAACGAGATTGTAACAATTAATAGAGAAGAATAACTCACCGTGCTCTTCTACATATCTTAGGGCCTTCTCCAAAAATGTTGGAGCTCCGTCAGCATCTTCTAGTGCAAATAAAATTGGTTTTTCTATGACAGTAGATCTCACAGGCTGTTTTTCGTTCACTAACAAAGAGATAAAGGATCAACAATACATCAAATAAGAAGAAAAATATATCAAAACAGTCCACCATGGAAATTTGGTAACTTGGTACATTCAAGAAATAATTTATCCGGCTTGTAAAAGAACATAAGAGAGCAAACAGATAAAGAAAAACTAGAAGAGAGAACATACTAAAACAAAAATAGGAGCTGACAACTAGGCTCCCGATTTGTAACACTATTTCTAGTGATCTAATTAGAAGATGCAAGACCTTACCTGGTTCCTTAGAACCATCAACTGCATCTGCTTTATCATTCCTTAAGATTCCATTTTTCCCCATCACTTGAGAAGAACTTGGTGGCGGTGCTTGTGAAAAAGCATTCTCAAATGCAGTCTTCCACTTGTACAAATCCTCTGAAGTTTCAGCCTGCAACACGAACAAAAGGAACCATAGCGTCATCTGATTTTCCGTTGATTTAGCATCGAGTTCACCCATAGTATCAGATAGACACATAATCAATGCTCTTTGCTCTGCATTCCTGCCTTCAAAACCAGTGATGTGGCTAAAACAATTCTCAATAAGAGGTTTCTCATGTTAAAAGAATGATATCACTGATCAACAAGGAAACGACTGACGTGAATAAAACGTAGATACCAAGGATAAATTTTTCACCAGGTATCAGTTGCTGGTTTGATTCACTTGGTCATCTTCGGATGCAAGATCATTTACTGTTTTGGCAGTCTAGTGGACAACTATTTATCAAGCTTAGGAACATATAGAAATAGAACTAAAGAACCATGAACAAGAAAACCCATTTCAACTGAACAGTTTAGTGGAAAGAATGATTCAAAACAGTAAAAGTTGTACTCATGGGTCGAAGCACCTTTAGTGTGAAGTTTCTTCCATCTTGGCCATCTTGAAATTGTACAATCATGAGTTTTTTATCAGCTTTGACAACCACACTAGAAATTTTGGAAGGTACCATGAGTTAGTAACACATTCAACTTTCATGACATTTGCAACTTGAGGAAAAGATAAAGAATTTTATCTAAGCCCACCTGCCTGAATTGTTGAGATCAATACCACCGAGAGTTAAATTCACTTCACTCCCCTTGGGAGGAATGGCAGTCTGAGAAGCAAAACAACAATGCATTGCTCTTTTAAAATCTTAAGAACACAAAATGCGACAAGAGAAAGGGAAACAGACTAGTGCATGGTATGTGGAGAGAAGAGAACAAGATATAACATCTAAACAATACATATCAACCCATCTAGCATCAGGACTGCGCACTGGAGTTCTTCAATACCCAAAACCAAGTCCTTTCCTCAACAAAAGCAATAGTTAAATCATTTTTCTAAGTTATTCTTCGAGCTGAAGCTCCCAAAATACACACTGTAGAAGATGCCCCATTTTTCTATGTTTCTTTAGGATCATTCACTTGTTGTGCCAAGAAAACAATGTAAAAACGGATAAACAAACACATGCATCATGTTTAAACCAAAAATCTTTAAGATTCCTAGTACTTACTGGATCACTTCTGAAGAAAACGAGAGAAGTTCGTGTCAAAATAAACCACCTTTTCTTCCATGATGTCCATCCAATTCCTGAAATCAAAGAAAAATTGGGGGGGGGGGGGGAAGGCAATGAATATAAATAACCCAGAGAAATCCAAGCCAATACCCTGGGACTGTGAGTTTCAACATAAACCTAATCATGCATATGTTTCTAGTATAATGCAAGTAGAAAATGTAATTCATAAAATGGAAGGAAAATGAGTCATTGAATTAAGTAGCAAAGTCTGATCAAAACAAGCTAAACAAACCTTTGGTTGATAAAAGAAGTGGCCCGCTCTTTAGAACCTGCAAGAAAGTTTTAAACCTTAAAAAGCACCAACATTTACAACTTCATAAATTGCAAAGTTAATAGAAAGGGCAAAAGCAGAACAATGTAAGCAATGATCTCAGGAAGGTAAAATCTAATAATGGACTTAAAATGCAGAACGGTTCATTCTCTTGCATCTAAATTCCTTGTGGCCACTTAAGAGTCTACATCAAGCTCAATGTGTCAAAGTAACAGCAATGATATCCAATGAAAACAACTGCATTATAGTTAACAGTTTCAACAAAAAGTTTAGTTGAAATCTCAAGCACATAAGACGTAGAGAAATGGTAGACAAAAATGATTGCAAACACAATTCAAAGATAATGATGATAAAGATGTACGTAGACACGTTACTCTGACTCTTCATTCTTTTTGAAGTAGCCGTGCCCAACACTTGAGTTCATCGCAGCAGATATGGATACGGATATATGAATTTCCAAGTACAAGGAAAGAGAGAGCAGTTTACCAAGTTTTTGGCAGGAAAACTTGGAGTCGGGCGCTCCAGCGAGCTTACTGGAGTGGATGGAGGGGGACCCGGATCAGCCTCGACTGCAGCATCTCCCTTAAATAGAAAACAAAATGATAAACGTAAAATCTCCTTTCAATAAAAATAATCAGGGCATAAGCTTCGTTTTTTTTCAATGATGATTTAGTTTTTTTCCTTAAAAACAAAATCAGAAAAGAAAACAAGACTGATTTACACCTGCTGTCCTTTAGAGGACTCTTCGTTTTTGGAATCCATCCTCTGCAAACAATGGGAAACAAAATACAATATCAATGCAAACTTCCCATAAAACTATAATAATAGTAATAATAATTCATCCTTTTTGTTAAGCATATTTACAAGAAATAACGTAAAATTCCGACTATTAAATCAAAATGTAGTTTGTTTGTTTGTCTTTTTCTTTTTTCTGATTCTTAACACAAAACTCTCCTAAAAACAGTAGAAAATTAACACAGACAAAAAAGAATTGATCAACCTGTTCAGCTTGAAACGGCTCTTCCTTTTTGCCAGGAATGTTCTGTCACGAGATAAAAAAATAAAAATAAAAAGTATAATTCTCCATCTCTCTTTTTCTGCTTCAAAATATCAAATTCCCCTATAAACAAGCAAGAAAATATACGCATTAAAAAAATTCGAGATACATTGATGGAGAACCTGTTGTTGCTGGGATTCTTCATTCTTTATGGTAGCCATAATCCTCTGATCACTCAAAATCAGGAAGAAGAAAAATCTCAAACAGTTGATAAAGTCAAAGGATTCACAACCTCTGCACCAGCCTTGATAACTTCATTTTCAACAATGCCGCTCATTCGCAACATTTAAACACACACAAAAAATTTGAAAACTCAAACATAAACCAAAATGACACCAAAAAATTAAAAAAAAAAAAAACTCAAAAGCTTTTACGTTAATTTGAAACTTACTTTGACGGAAAAACGAAAATGTATAATAATAACAAGAAGGAAGAGGCGTGGAGGTAAAAGCAGAGAGAATATTTCTTTTTCTTTTTGTTTGTTTGTTTGATTGTGTGAAAGTCTTTTGGCCCTGAATTCTTAGCTTAACGGAAACACCGTTTGGTCAAAGCAACGGAGGAGCATAAAAAGCTCTCCCTCCCAAACAGAGCGGGGGGCAATTGTACGGCATTAGTACACGTCACCCCAAAAATTATTGTGTGTGTTTTTGGTGGGAAATTGAGATGCCCTGAATTAATTTGAGTAAACTACGAATTTATTATTTAAATTATTAGCTTTATTAAATAAATTTTTAATTTTTTAAAAATTATATCCAAAATTTAGTTTTTATTTTATTTTAATAAATTTTATTAAAAACTTAATGTGTTTAGTATCTAAACTATTAGATTTTGGTTCGTTTTAGTACCTAAACTTTTTAAAACTTAACGTTAAATTTTGAATGGTGTACTAAAATGAAACAAAAGCTAAATTTTTTAACGACAGGTACTAAAATGAAACAAAAACTGAATTTTAGGTATAATTTAAAAAAATAAAGTTTAGGTACTAAAACAGAACAAAATTAATAGTTTAGGTATTAAATATATAATTTACCTATTAATTGTTCCTTTATTTATCTCACCGTCGTTTTATATCACGTAATTGTGAATTCACTAGCTGAACCCACAAGCTCAGATAATACTCACCAACGATCACGGTTGTTCTTGATCTTTTGTAGGTCCATTGGGCTGCAGACTCTAACGATCTCTATATATATAGTATAACAAAGATTAAACAAAATATCATTATCAAAACAGGGTAAATCACATATTAGTCCTCAACTATCATTTTGTTTTTTTTAGTCACACAATTATTATCTTTTTCAAAATCATACTTAAAGTTATATTTTGATTCCGTTTTGATAATCGGTTGTTAAATATTATGGGTAAGCTACTTAAATAACCACTTAACTACAGGATTGATATCGATATGACCACTATACTTTTAATTTTTAGCAACACGATCACATAATTATTTAATTAGTTTCAATGTAGCCACTTACCCTTAAAAATAGACGATTAAGTTGATGTGGACCTTTGACTCTCCGTTAGCCAATAACAACCACATAAATTACGATGTCTATTTTTAACAAGTTGTTATATAACCACTTAAATAAATTTGTGGTCCTATGACCAAAGTATGATGGTCATATCGACATCAATCCTATAGTTAAATGGTCATTTGAGTAGTTTAACAAAAAATTAACAGTGATGCTGGCATGTCATTATAATGTAATATCATATCATCATTGATTTTTCTTTAAATTACTACAACAACAGTTCCATTTATTTTTTAACAAGTGATCAAAATATAACGTTGGTTTAATTTAAAACATGTTATCAATCCATTTACTCCTTGTGTATTTAAAATTTAGTTTTCACATACACAATAAATCAGCTCCGGTCAAATTAAACGATAATCATATAATCAAATAATTTTTTAATGAAATATTGTCTTAATTGAGTTATTATTTAAAGATTTATGATTTAATAGATCATTAAAATTGAAAAAACATCTCAATGGAATCATTATTTAAAAAATTTATAATCAAGTTTAAAGTGTTTATTCATAAATTTTTAAATAAGAATTTTGTTAATGGAAGAAGTGGAGTTGTGATAGTTTTTGACGATTCACTCCCTTTATTTTGAATGAAGAGCTATAAATAACCGTTTAATGGAGAAAAGTGAAGTAATAAACAAGCTGAAAATGATGATAAACATTCTAGAGAGAGAGTCCCCTTCTCTAACATCGCATGATGATTTATATACAAGTTTTTTACTGTTGATGTCAAGACTAGATAGTAGATATAATATATTCAATTGTTATATTATGTGGGCCTATCAATGGTTATGTCAATGAATCATAATTAGTAGAGGATAGAACTTAAAAGGTTTTAAGGTTCAATAAACAGAGGAATGATAATGACAGAACGAGAACTTCAAGGAATACATTAAAAAAACTCTTCATGGGCCAAATAATAATCTGGCCATACTTTAGGGGCTAATTTGTCTATTAAGCCTAGGGATAGGCATGTGACCTAAATCAGACGTGTTCCAACCCGACTCGACCTGATCGGGTTGAGTTTTTTTTAATTCGGGTTTGGGTCGGGTCTGATTTTTAAAGGTGATGTTAAGGTCAGGTAGGATTCGAGTTTATGGTAAAAAATATTCGACCTAACTTGATTCGACCCAAAAAAAATATGATTTTACCTTATATATTTAAAAATAATTACAAGAATTCTCCTTTATATATTATTTTTTTAATTAAATCACTATTTTTTTGAATAAAAATAATATTTTTATTATTATTTCAGGTCGGATCTGATCGAATATGAATTTTATATCAAAAAGTCGGGCTAGATCAAATAAGGTGGAGAGTATATATTCTTCTTATCATATCAAATCAGATGAAGAATGTAAAATTTTTAGCTTGGATTGGGTCGACTGAAACCCGACCCATGCCCATTTATGCCTTCTATTAACTTCTTGTTCTCGCGTCGTTAAAAAAGTGTGTAAAAGAAGATTAGGTTTTTTACGTACCGTAGGCAAATTACGGTAGTATCCAAATCTCACACCGCTGCCGGCAACCGCCGTTCATTTTTACATATCGCGTCTTTACGTCGACGATGATAGTCGACTGGGACGATCATCCTGATGAAGCACAAAAGACGGAGCAAGATTATAACCTCAATTTCGACTTTCTTTCTATTGTTTCCAAGCCCAAGGTAAACCCAATTCCTAGGGTTAAAATTTAAAAAAGAAGAAAAGAGATTTTAGAAATCTGCATATGTTCTGAACTGCTTGTTTAAATGCAGGATTATTATAAGATATTGGAAGTTGATTTCGATGCTACGGAGGATGCTATTCGCTCCAATTATATCCATATTGCACTGGTTCGATTTTTTCTTTTCTCAAAAGCTAAATTGATTTCTTTATATATATTCCTTTTTTTTTATTGAATAGTATGGGGTTGTTTCTGCAGAAATGGCATCCAAATAAGCAAAAGGACGATGAGAATAACGCCACTTCAAGATTTCAAGAGATAAACGAGGCTTATCAGGGTAACCATCTTTCTTTCGCTATTATTTCTTCTTTTCTGTTTAGGTGTTCGCTTGCTTTTTGAGTAAATTTATGATTCCTTTGATCTTTTTTTCTGTATACATGGGTATCCTGTATTCGTTTTCATTATTTTGATGTTGCATAGTTTTCGTTTAATCTTTTGTGTAAGGGAACCATTGAATCTATGCTATATATCTTCCATAATCTGCATATTAATTTTTTGCTTGCAAAGATTCTGTCTACATTTGCCTCTCTTTTGTTGATATGTTCATCATTTAGTTTATTTCAAATAAATTGGGAAAATATAATTATCCCAAAAGAGAAACAATTGAGGACTATAAGCAACATTAGCAATTTAGCATTAGAGCAAACAGAACTTTGGGCCGTTATAAGATAATTGCAATTCATAAGGTGTTGCATCTAGTTAATTTTATATGCTTTTGATTGTTCTTTGCTTTTTAGTTTATGATTTCACGGCTTACCCTTCATATGGATTTATTTGAAAGATAATTATGGTGTTTGCGCATATGTCTAGCATGCATCTCGTATATCCATGAGCAAGGACTCGAAATTATGCAGTTGTTATTTGACTTGGTAGAAAATATCTTCATGATTCCTCTTTAGTTGTGGGTAACCCTTTCCTTTATTTTCGAGCATTTCAACAAGGATGCACAACTTACTCTTATAAAAACCATCTTACTAAAGGTGATCTGTAATGGTATAAAGTATCATTTACGACAGTTATTCGTGAAAATATGTTGGGTTTAAAGTTTCCACATTGTTAATACCGTGCTATTTCTTAATGACTTGGTAGCCATGTTATACTAAAGGAAGGAGTAAAAATTGTGCATGATTGATATAATAGCTAGCAAATCTATGATCATGTTCTGTCTACTGGCATGAATTGGTGAATTGAGTTTATATGCTTAATGATGGTTGAAGACTTAAAGTTGTAGTTGAACTGCTAACATTTGGTTGAAAAAAGAGTACTAAGTATATTGATATGCGTGTGAATATGAATTTGAAATTAATCATTAGCTGTTTTGGCTTCATTTAACAGTGCTAATTGATCCAGTCAAGAGGAGTGAATATGACAAGAAGGGGATGTTGTATGCTTATGACTATAACATAATTGTAAGAATTTCTTCCATCATGCTTCGAAGTATGTATATATACTTTTATATGTCTAGATGGAAGTTTTAATTCACTGGCTGCAGGAGTACCTTAACCGTTACAAGGGCCTTATATTAACATGTAATGGTCTTGGGGTTAGTCAATCGATTTGGTAAGAGTGACAGGAGGAACCAAGGTCCTTTCTGTTTATTTTCACAATGATCGAACTTAGAGAAAACCAGATTTGTTGATGCTAACGGTGCAGTTGAGGATGAGAACAAGCTTCGATGTATTACAAGGTTATGTTATACAACGGTTGTGAATATAAAGCAGAGAAATTCATGTAATCTGTAATATCACATGCTTGTCCGCCTTATGAGGGTATGACCAGACGTCAAATGCATGCTTGTTATTATTAGGGCTGTTGTTGGTGTTTACTTGATCGGTAGGAATATAGGAGCAATATATTATGGGAACCAATATTCTACTACTAGCTAGTTAATGGGTTGGCCAGTGCTCTTTCTCTTTTACTTGTCTTGGTAACTTGTTAGTACAGACATTGATATTAGTCTAGTGGGTGGCTCAAGTTTACCGATTCTAGCAAAAGCTAACTTGTAGACAAATATGGTAGAACCGCAATCATAGAATACCACTCTAGTAAAAATGCATACATTGGTCTCGGTATACTATGAGGATGGTGATAAAGATATATTTTACATCCCAAAGGAGCTAAGTGGAGATTA